CTCCCCCCCCCCCCGCACCTGTTCTTGAGTTTTCGTAGCACGGAGACACGAAAACGTACCACTCTTTGGTGCCTGCCCGTATCGGTGGCGTCAAAACAAATGTCCCCTATAGAGATGATTTCATCGTTGTCAATCGTCTCAATCGACCCCCCGTCATTGTCATCACCCATCATCCCATCGACCACCATCCATCCATCACAACAAGGTACCATGTTCTACCGTGACTATGTTATTCATCACACAGTGCAGTGATCGAAATTGGGTTGACTATGTTATTCATCACACATTGCAGTGATCGAAATTGGGTTGACTATGTTATTCATCATGCATTGCAGTGATCGAAATTGAGTTGACTATGTTATTCATCACACATTGCAGTGATCGAAATTGGGTTATAGAAACCGTAGTGTTGCCAAGAACGTGCTTGAAGAAAATCTAACGCTGTCGAGAGAGCTTGTTCCTCTGAAACCGTGTTCGCGGCGGACGCCCGCCCTGCCCTTGCTAAATATACGTTGCCTCCCCGTCGAACCTAGACGTCTTTATGGGCACCGCCAAAACCGAATCAAACATTCGAGGACTCTAAAGGTGCCTGACCGTGCCTCTTGCGCCCTGCTGAAAGCACCTGTATGGTGAGCAACCCTTGCTCCCTCCGAGCGGCTTTCAATATCTCCGCGCGCCTACGGGCGACCGTCCGTCGCGCGGCCCACGTTCTGGCGGCTGACTGGAGCACCGAGGCTGCCCGAAGCTCCGCCGCCTTCCGCCGCTCGACCTTGTCCCTCTCGGCCCTGAGCGTTGCAGCTCTTTGCCGTGCCTCATACGCTCGGAACATGGCCTAATGGGCGTGTTCGGCCGCGGGTTTGTATAGATGATAGATATTCGAGAGAAGATGGTACCCGTATGTAGATCGTAGCCGTGCTCTTTCGTGCCACATACTTCCTGGTCCCTCTCCCTGCCCGCGATTGTTTTGGCACTTCTGTGCAGTTGCCGTTCTTAGCTTTATGATTAGGGATGCTTTCCTCCGGAGAGGATACGGCACACGCCGACTTTGGTTGGACAGTACGAGCGCGAGGACTATCATATGTAAAAAATAAAACAGCAACGACGGAAACGACGACAACAACGACAACGACGAAAACGACGACAACAACAACAGCAACAACAACGACAACAACAACAACAACAACAACAAACTCAAACACAACCGTGTCAACGGTTGCACTCGCCTGGATCCTGGCAGCAGATGCCCCGTGCGCTTTCTCCTGCGCCGCCAGGTACCTCAGCTTCGCCTCGTAGTACTGCAACATCTCCTCTTCCACCACCGGCGGCGGCGGGTCAGCGGGCTTGGCCGGCACCAACACCGGCTCCACGACCGCGGGGACCGGCACCGGCACCGGCACGGGCGAAGGGGGCGGCGGCGACGGCGGAGCCGAAGATTTTCCGGCCGACTGTAGCACTGCCGCGATGGCAACGTCTCCCATGTCTTCGTACTCCGGTGTCGCTCCGACTTTCACCTCGATGGCCGGCGGGCCGTCAACCCTGGGCCCGCCCACCGTGCCGCCATGGGCGGCTGTTGCACTACTACCGGTGTCCGCCGCCCCGCGAGGAGAGGCCGTGCCGGCAGCACCTTCCAAACGGTCGATGCTCCTTGCTCCGTCACCGGCGTCATCACCAGCAGCACGTTGGCCGGCTTCTCCTGTTGTGTCGGCGAAGCTACGCCTGCCGCCGTCGTCTCCGCCCTCTGCTGCCGCTGCGATCGCTGCCGTTGCCCCCGCCACGCTCACGGCGTGCCCACCGCCTTGACTGAAAGAGGCGGCGGCGTTGGCGACTTCTATCCCGCGCTTGAGGGTCCGTTCTTGCCGTCGGCGCCGCATGCGCTGCCGCCGGTAAGCCGACTGGATCGTGAAGGCGGCATTCCACAAACGATGCTCGGCCGCTCTCTTGGTGTGGAGAAGGCGGTGGAGGCAAAGAGGTTGGATGTCAATGGTTCGATCGGCGGGTAAGCTTCACATCGCATCGTAGGGGGACGAGATGTCGTAGAGGCGGTACTTGTTGGGAGCACTGAGCGGGGTCGGCGGATATTGGGACAGCGACGGATCTGACCCTCGGCGGTAATTACAATGAATCCACACCAGTATTGCCTAGGAGCCAACCGCCTCCGACATCCGGTGTATAACGTTAGGTGCCTTGTTTACGACACAACGCCACGACTTGTGTCACACACTGTTTGGACTTCTGAAGAATGCCACCCCTAGGTGCACCTTGTACACACAAACCTGACCCAGCATTCTTCGCCCCTTGAGCCCTCTCCACATGCGTTGCACCGCCGTAGCCGCCATCCACGACGCGGCCTGGTTCCTTGGTCGCCCCTCCTCCATTCGAGACAAGCGCCGGACCGCTCGGCCTCTTACGATGCGTTGAAGCTGTATTCGGTGATATGTGGTTGTTACATTATGGCATGCGTTAGAGCTGTGTACAGTCATGTATGTTCATGATACTGTCGCTACAATCATGATTCGGTTATGGTGGGAATGAGGGTGAATCAACCAAGGACTAAGGGCTGCCACACATCCATTCATCGAGGCGCGCGTAGACATGATAAAGCGTTAGCGCCATACTAACGCGTGGCCAGCCCAACTCCAACCAGGAGGTCGAGCACGGCATCCTGCCAGAAGCCTCCCGAAATTGCAAGGGCAGCATGTAGCCCGGATTCCTAACTTACGCTTGTAGCTTCTGGAGAAAGGTGTATCGCGCCTTATCATCGCTCCGTATCTAGGCTAAAAAAGTGTTCGACGTTTATTCATGCATTCGTGTTTCGGGGTGGAGGAGGGCTGATGTCGACTCATGATCACGTATGGCGCAGCCTTGCCAACATAATCCTTCCACATCTTTACACCGCCGAGATGCAGCGCATTTTGGTTTCGACGACCTGGTCAGTCAGCACCACAAAAAGGGATGCAGGGACGATTTTTTTTTTCTCTAGGTACCTCCACGGCGGCACACCGACGTAGAAGCTCCCTTCGAGCCTTCAATCGACCTTGTTTTCCCCGGAACATCTTTTGCGCAGCCACACAGGCCTGACACGGCAAAACGGTAAAAAGCAGACACGCCGGCGACGAAGGGATGAGTCTGAGTAAATAACTTTCGCCGAAAACAAATAGAAAGAGTTGCGCGTGTGCCAATGTATCCCAGGAACCATTTGAAAATGAATCAGGCGTGATGGACAGCGAGCGGCCACGGATATGACACGAGTGTGCGCACACTCATTAAATGGGTGTTGGAGTGGAGACGTGCTGCAGAGCCTGGGAAAGGATTACGCTGTGCTTAAGACCCGACAGACACGCGGAATTGCAAGTCAGGAACGAGCCCCTAACTCTCGAAAACAGCAGCAAGAAAAGTGTTGTACAAGGGAGTTATCTCTGTGACTGTACTAAGACTACGGTCTCTCTCTTTCCCTCTCTCTCTCTCTCTCTCACCACGATCATCGCGCAATTGTCAAGAGCTTGCTCCTCAAGCAGTCTTTTCGTCGCCCTTCTCGCCAAGAAACCCCTGACCAGGGGGTTCAGCCGCGCGGCCAAGGCACTTTCCCACCGTTTCTGCCGCGCCACTCTCCTAGCCTTGGCGCAGCGCCAGAACCGGGACATGGTGGCGGCAGCTCTCTCGCGCAGGATTATGCGGCAGTACACCTTGCGGGCCCTTTGCAGAACAGGAACCAGTTGCAGTCGTAACACCAAACGGTACATGTTACCATGGTTAGGGGCCGATTTTCGTGGGGTGTGCCCAAGGTCGAAACGAACCTACCCACTCCGCGAAATCAAAGCCATCGTCCGTGATTTACCACGCGTTGTGCCGAGACCATGCGAAAAAAGCTAGGAAGAGAGTTTGGAGGACGAAATCGTGCCGTTGCTTCGGCTTTTCTCAAGAAGCGGCGTGACACTTTTATCGGGCACGTATTGCTTCAGGAAGTGTTGAATACCAAATCATCCTCACGAGTCCATCTTCGGCGCACCGACGAAAAAAGGGTTGCTTCATGAACCTTGGACCAGACACTTAATAGCCGGACAACCAATTTTCCGCTCTCGAGCTCACCCGCGCCCCCGCGCCACCGCCTGAATCTTGACCGCCGCCTCCTGTCTACACTTAGCCTCCATCAACACGTCCGCCCTGCCACGCGCGACGACGCCCCGCCACAGTCTCTGCAGCATGACGGCGGAGACCTCTCTTAAGCGCCGCTCCCGCAGCCTTCGTACCGGCCGGCGGCCGTACACCAGGCCGCTCCACGCCGCCTGCAGCTTCGTCGCCGCGCGCTCCTTTCTCTTCAGCGCCAGCAGCTTGACGGCGTCCCTCTGCCACACGAACTCGCGGTACTTCTGCTCTATCGTACGAACGGCCCGCCGCTCTTCCATCATCCTCGCCCTCCGCGCGCCCCTCAGCCTCCCGAAGCGGCCCCTTACCACCCTCTGCACGGCTACGGCAGCGATGTCGCGCCGCCTTTTGTCCGCCCGACGCTTCCCCAAGAAACCTCGGACCGTTCTCTGCAACTCCACGGCCGCTGCCTGAACCTCAAGCACCCTCTCGGCGCGCATCGCCCCGGCCCACCGGCGAAGCCATGTCCGTGTCCGCCGCCGCAAGAGTGGCTCTAGCACGGCGAAGCCAATGGCCGCGGCACCGACGAGCCGAGCGACGCGCCCGGCAGCCTCGATGGATCGCTGCCGTCGGGTCAGCTCCGCCCAGGCGTCCCAGCCCCGACGGATGGTCTTGAGGTACATGATGTTCATGGCTTCGCGCATGCGGTCTTGCGCGGACTCGAGGAGGGCCTCGTGCGCGGCGGCACTCGCGAGGGCGAGAGCGGCGCGGTTGGCGGCGGCGGTGGCCGCGGCGGATGAGGCGGCCGCAGCGGCAATCCCTTCCTGGGCTTCCGTTTTCCAGGCCTCCGCCTTCCGCGCCATCGTGATGCCTAGGCGGGCCGCTGTGCTCTCTGAGGCTTCCAGTTCTTGCCGGAGCATGGCGGCCGTCACTTCTCCCTAGGTGTTTTTACAGAGACGCGAGCATTAACTCCGGGAAAGGCAGATTTACAAGATATTTCCGAGCACAAACTCTGTAAAATTGTTGGAGGGTGGCGACGACCACCATGAAATAGGCTTAGAAACAAGAATATTGCGCCTGTAGTCGACTGACATCGGGAGCTCTAGAAACAATTTTTGGAACCCTAACCCTACAACGAACGCGCCAGTGGAAGAAGAGGAACGTATGTACAACGCGGAGCCAAACGGCGCACCACACCACTGGCACTTCGAACGAACACCACCGAAGACCTCATCCGCATACCTTGTAGCCTGGGCGTAAGCATCGCGGGGTCGATCGTGGCCGAGGGACCCCGAACACGTCGAACTCCACCTCTTCCTCTCGCCGCCCAGCATCCGCCTCCCGCCTCCGCCTCGTCCTCTTGTCCTTCCTGGCCAATTTAAGGGGAGGGAGGCCGAGTTCATCACTCCCTGCCGACGCTGGTCGGCGCAGTCTCTGTCCTGGCTCTTGGCCTCCTTCCGTCCAGTCGATGGCGCCAGAGCCCCCGATGTAAATCCCTCGTCCGAAGTCTCTTCGGTTGGTAGAAGTAACACCGCCGTGCTCGTGGTGCTGTACCGCTAGGCTGTGCACCCTGAACCTGGCGGTGGCTGCACGCACGAGCTGCGCCACCAGGACCCCTTGTTCGGGGTTGCTGTTGTGCTCCGCGAGTTCGGACACCTCTAGCTGTCGTTTGCCGAGAGCCGTGTCTGCTACTCGTCGCGGCGAGTTTACGAGAAGCGAGCCGTCGTCGGTGCAAGGCGGTGAGTCGCCCTGTGCCCTAGGATTAACTGAGGAACCGTTGCGATCCTCCCATGTTCGTCGATACTCTACGCTCGGTAAAGAGGATGCAAGATCTTCGTTAGCCGCGGTGGCAGCTGCTTCATCTTCTCCGCCTCTGCTTGAGCTGTCTTGCTCAGCATTTTTCCCAATCTTCCAAGACGGGGCCCGACTCGCTCCGCCTTCTGACCGATCACCCCGGTCGTTCTGCCTCTCGCCCCCGATAGCTTCGCCTTGCAACGGTGGCGTTAGCGCCTCTCCTTTCGCCGATTCCGTCGAGTCGAACACCACAACCGGTCGAGAGGCGACAACGATATCTCGCACGGCGTCCTCCCCGAAGACACCGCCCAAGAACCCCGCGGTGAGTGCGCGCCCTGCCGCCGCTTCCGACATTAGTAGGGGCTCTTCGACGCTCGTCGATGAGTGAGCAGCATCAGCCGCTGCCGATGGTCCTGGCAACGGCGGCATTGGGCTTCTTCCCCATGCCTCCGTCGCTGGCCCTCGGGGCCCGCTCCGCTGCAGGTGTCGCCCTCTGCCTCCGCGTGCCGCCACCGCTTGAGTTCGGGAGCTGGCATGTTTACAGCATAGCCGTTTCACGGCGGATTGTAGGAGGCGGACGTCGAAGCGCGAGAGGAGTTGCACCATCGCGCGGACCTTCTCGGCCGGCTCGCCCGCCGCCCTCGCCAGCAGGGCCACCACCTCGTCGTCAAACAGGGGCAAGGCGTGCACGCTGAGTGGATGCCTGGGCGGCGGCGGTTTCGATCCCCCCATGACAAAAAGCACCGGCCATCTGGGTTGGCCGTTACCGAACGGGTGGGTGAAATCTGTAACAGGTCTCGCAAGCGGGTTGCCGCCATTGGCGGGGTCGGCCAGCCCCCACGCCGCTCGGGCGCTGTTGGCCGAGAACGGTCGTAGGGACGACAAGTACCGTCGCAACGAAGAGGTGGGCGTGAGCGGGGGCGACTGCGGGGGGTGGCACGTTGTCACCATGTCTGACACATTCGCTTGCCGCCTTGGGATGATGTCGGTCGCCGAAGTGCTGCTTCCTGCAAGATGCTGTGGCGGGTCGGTCGAGAAGGACACGTCTAGGGGTGTTCGTCTGGTTTTCCTGGGCGACACCCGGTGGCGCGGTCGCAGGGGGCTTCGCCCGCCGGCACCGTCAGGAGAACGGCACCGTTCGAGTACATCGGTGTTTCTAGGAGCTTTCGCTGCATTTCCCGTCGGATCCAAGTCAAAATTTATTTTCTTCCAACTGGGTCGTTCAAGCAGTGGGATGCCGGTGTTGCCTGCTGCTCTAGCCAGCTGCAACTCGCCAAGCAGCTCGCGGTGAGGCGAGCCCGTCTGAGACTGGAAAATTTGATCCTCCAGCTCCGTAGCCCGGTGGCAAGCGAGACGTAGCTGCAGCCTGAGATCTTCCATCTGCCTCCCCTCTTCGGCCTTGAGAGCGCCCGCCCCGGCTATTCCGGTGATGATTGTGTCGTCCACAAGACTGCGCAATACCTTAGGATTGTGATCGTGGTCGTACCGTTTGTGCCGCCTCCTTTTGTTGGACGAACCGGCCACCGTCTGCTGGGCCTCAAAGTGGGCGGTAGCCGTCGCCCTTCGATGGTTCATTCCGTCACCATCGATAAATGCAGTTTGCTTCTCACGCCGCTGTTCCGCAAGCAGAGCTTGTTGGTCATGGTAATCTCGCTGCCGGCTCTCCACCCCGTTGTTGTGAGATCTCTTCGTCGATTTCCTAGGAACTAATTTGGCGAAAACACGTGATTGCGACGATGATGACTCCCCCAAGCACTTGGGCGCTTCGGCCTGGCAAAGCAACCGTGTCTGTATCCTATTCTCTACAGCTCTGCCATCGCTTCCCTTCCCCGGGCTTCTCGCCGAGCTCGCCCCTTGTCTTCCCCTGGCCCTTTTGCTGCGACCGCCGTGGGACTTCTCCGTTGCCCCGACCCGCGCGTTGAGAACTCCATGGTCGTGGACGGCCAACATCTCTCCCAGAACCTCGCGAGACAGCATGCTGCCACCACCTTCGAACTCGATAAGACTCTTTGCTGGTACCCCGTGGAGGCCGAGTTCCTGCACAAGGCCTAGCTCTTGTGAAGGCCCCAACTCCAGTGGGAGGCCTACCGCCGATATCTCCGGCATGCGGTCTCTCTCCGCCTTTCCCCACGTAGCCATTGATGGAGCTTTGCTATTTTACCAAGAGCCAACATTGGCTCTTGATGAAGTATCTACTAGGTGCATCTTCTCCCTTGGTACTGCCCGCTTTAGCAAGTAACAGTACTGTAGCTCGACCCAACCTGCCATGCATCAGCTCAAGCTGTGTAGAGATTTGCTCTGCATGACGACACACACAAACACGTTGCCATACAGCACAAATTGCAGACGCTATGCTACACGACAGACAGCACCACCAACATTAAAAGAGGTTCGCACTGGTGATTTTCGGCGCCGCTATAGCTCACCACCCGTTAGGCTTCGAATACCCCATCTCAAACCTCAGAGGTGGCCTCTGTCCAGGACCGCTCGGTCGACCAGTGTGCGGTGGAATATCGACCGTTTGGATTTTGTTTTTGTTTTTTTCGTCCATGATCAACGATTCGACGATCAATGGATTCGAATCTCCTCGGCGCAGCACGAACTGGTATGTCTTTTTTGCTTCTCATGCACAAGGTGGAAAATGGCGAACACTGTGTGCTGCTCGGGAAATCGTGGAAAAACAGAACTTTTGCTCACTCTATGGATTAATTGATACTCTTTCTTAAGACTCTTTTCTTAGAGATGGATTCGTTGGGTGATACTGATAACAAGAAAAAAACACAGACTTGATTGTCGACGAACAAAAGGAGGGGCTGAATCCTTCTCGCCGTACACAAACATTCACCACTGTTTGTACGTGTGTTCCGTCACGCGTTTAGGATAAATAAACTTGCGTGTTTGACGGTTTGATCGTGACTGCATGTGGAGTAAGGGCGCATGAAGCACGAACGATCTTTGTGCAATACTTTGTGCTCAACGCACTAAATAGTAGCAGACGAAGCCCGTGTTGGCGTATAGATAGCAGGCATGGTTTTCGGCGAAGCACCAAGGAGCAGTTGATCTATTAGCTCTGTGAGCCCACTCACAAAGAATACCACACCAAGCACCCGAGACTTGAACTGATACAAGAGCTTACGGCGTGCCCGAGCAAGTACTGCCATTTACCGGAGCAGTACACAAGGGCAAAATTAGTTTTCGCGATGGCCGTGTAGTCCATACATCAACCAGAACAAACAGGCAAGGGTGAGCCTGGACCGTTACAAATCCCGACACACACACGTGATGTCATCGGATTAACTCTGACAATGGTTTTTCGCCCCGCACGGCGGAGCGCATGCAAAATGTCACAGCACCAACAGTACACAACTTAACGACAATTGACACCACGAACGGCCTGCACGGACAAACCTTTACAACACACGGCAGCGACGACGCAAGCTCACACAGAATCGGGAAACGTGTAACAACCAAACGTCATAGTACAAGGAAAGTGCGGTACATTTGCGATCTTCTTTAGCATCACCCACCCAACGTAATAAATGCGAAGCAAGATAAAGCAACAAGTGAACGCGCTTGTCTTCGCCACCGATCCTCACGGCACGCCAACATCTCCCCGGTCTGCTTCACCCAGTTACTCGCCCGAGCTGCAGCAATTTCAAGTCGCCACTACTACGCAAATAACTCGCAGGGTGCCACGATGCTTGAGAGTCGAATCAAATTTGTCGGAACATAGCTGCACGACAACAGCGCATTAAGAGCTTCTCCAGTAGCGACCAACTTGGTGCTACATCTTAGAAGGTGGAGCCATCGCACACACACACCTGGATCAACGTTCACGCCTCGATTGATTTGCCCCCACAACTAACACCGAAAAGGGACAGCCTAAGCTTCGCTTTGCATGCATCACGTCGCTTGTCGCACCCTCGTGGCCGCGGAGCGAAAAACGAGCCCAATACATTCCTGTCTAGGGTGTGCGTGCCGCCCACTCCGGAACCTTTGTTACGGGTAGACGCGCCGCAATGCACCACGGCTTTGCGCCTCCCCACTCAACAACAACCCCAACGCCATGTCATCGGCCGAGCTGCGACACCGAGATGCGGAGGTCCTTGAGCTGCTGCCGCAGGTCGTCGCACTCGGCCTTGAGCGCCAGGTTGGTCGTCCTCAGCTTCTTCACCTCGGTCACCAAGAGCTTCTTCTGGGCCTTGAAGGCGGCCTCGCCGGCCTCCCCCCGCTGCTTCTCGAACCTCAGCATGTCCTCCAGGACCTTGGTCTGTTGGTTGTTTTGTTCCGCCAACACCCAACCATGACGTCAACAGTCCCGTGGTTCAAGGCCCGATCCCGGGGTCGGGTTGGCGCCGATTTTCGTGGCGGCGGCAGACGGCGAACACCAGAAGGGGGAAGAGATGTGTCAACTTAATCCCTTCCGACAGAGAAATAGGACTTCAAAACGCGGTTGTCGAACGAGCAGTGCCCAAGATATACAACGTGTCACTGAACAGCGCGAATCAACAAGGTGCGTAAGGTCGTTTTCCTGGTTTGGACCTTTCTTTGATCACGTGTGTGTACCAAGTGTGGTTGTACTTGCTTACTGTAGATCCGGCACAGGGAGGGTCGGTGCTACACAGGAGAGCACAAACTCATTTCACCACCAGCACAACGCTCTTTCTTCACATGACCAACGCTTCCTGCGTGGTGAATCCCTTTCAACCATCTAAACAACAAGACAACAAAGAGCCCGATCACCCACTCCCTGTCTCCCCGTTCCAGTCTAACCTCCCTTGGCCAGAGGCGGGTTGTCATGGTCAGGACCACCACCGCCATATTCAACATTACACTCTTTCGTTCACACGCAGAGAAGGTAAGACCCTTTGGGGACACACAAGCGGCGAATTAGACAAGAGAACATGACGAACCCTTCCCTACTTTGGGGTTTGTTGGCATGGCCGCACCTGCTTCTGGGCGCTAGCCTTCTGGTTCTCAAGCTCGGTCTGGTAGGTCATGGCCTTGTCCATCGTCTCCTGCGCCACCCTTTCCATTTCCTGCTCCCACAGCAGCAAACGAATGCACGCCGTGTCGACCCGAGAGCGATGGAACAAGCATGAGGCCGGAATCACAACAGGGACAAGAAGAGACGATTAGACAATCACGAGCACACGGGCATAGACAAATGAGCATTAGATATGAGCCACAGACAAGCAATATGCACGGCAACTCTTATGCACAAACGACGGCGGGTATCAGGATGCCCACAAACGTATCACCGAGGAGAAGACTCAACACACGGAAATCTAACAGCAAACAGCAGTAACCTGTGTCCTGGAGTCCAAGAAGGAGATGACCTCTTGGTCGGACGCCGACTGCCTCAGCGTCAGGCCCTTCTCGTCGAGGCTGCGCTTAAGGGCGGCCTCCGTGTCCTTGAGCTTGGCCACCAGGAACTCCTTCACGCTCTCCGTGCCCTTCCAAGCCAACCCAAGCCAACCCATGCGGGCACAACAACGACAAGGTCAAGGTATCATACCACCAAATACCTGTCGGGCACGAACAGCCAAATATTTGACTGGGTGCCCTGCGAGGCAGCCAAGGCCCACCGGGATAATGCCAGCATTGATTTTTTCATGACATATTTCAAGCCAGAAACAATGACAAACAAATTAAACAAGGACACGCTAAGGGGGGAAAATCGATCGATCGAGACAAACAAGGCGTTTGTTATCTATCACCAGCAAGGGGATCGAGCAGACACCAAGAACAACTTCGCTCATTTCTACTTTCGGCGTTACTTGTCGCTCGATTTCCTACCGCCGAAGGTCGCGTCCACTCTTCCGCTTCGGCACCGATAGGAACTGGACCCATGCACTTCACTGCCCCACGACCATCTTAACGGCCATGCAAGAGTCGCATATCTGTTCGACAGCTTCTTCTGCCTGGAAGCGACGGGCGGCAGCCCTCAAGACAATGGACGGGGGTGCCGTCGTGTGGTCACACACTCCACCACCTAATCGACAACCAGTAGCATACATCGGATCGCGGGTCACACCCAAAACAACCAATCAACGAACAGAATACAATCGGAATCGCGCTAATATTTTCGAATATCACCTGCAGCCTGGCGAAGAGGTCCTCCTTTTCAGCCTGCAAGGCCCCCGCCCTCGCCTCCATCCTTCTCCCTCGCTCCGTGAGCTGGATGATCCCCTTCATCTCGACCGTCGTCAGCCGCTTCGACAGGTCGTCCATTAGCTCCGGCGACATCCCGCCACCGCCGCCGCCGCCGCCAACCGGCCCAGAGCCGCCATCGCCGGCCCCGGTTAAGGTCGCCGCCGCTCCCGCTAAGGAACCGAAGCCGCTGCTCGCTCCCGCGGTGACGGCCTCCACCCTGCTAGCCACCACCCCGAGAGCACTGGCCAGTGCTCTCTGTGTATGCCAAAGCGAGGAGGGGGGTCTAGTGACATTGACTGTGGTACAACCTCAACGTGACGACTGACGTGCATACATATTTCGTAAAAAAAAAAATAATAGCGCACGACCGGACGGAGTCCCAGACAACGATCTTCGACACACGTACATGACCCCTCCTCAGAGCTGCTCACCCCGTTTTTCCTCCATGTACGAATCCCCGACCCACACCAGCCCGGTGCGTCACCCCGCTCTGTACCACCACTTGATAGAAAAGAAAACCACAAGGCGGCAGGTTATTTTTGTGGCGGCTGACCAAAGTTCGCCCCAAAACCATTCGGCTTTCCAAACAGCAAACATCTCCCTACGTACCTGTCCGAGCCGATTCCCCGGTGCCCCGGTCGACGCCGACGACGCCGACGCGGCCGATCCCGCTCGATCTCTTGCGCCAGCTGGGGCACCGCCCCCGGTGATGATGCCCGCAGCGGCAGACGGGGCAGGAGGGGCTGCAGGAGGGGTCGGCTCGGCACTCACCGCCTGACTGCCGATGCCGAACATTAGGTCCACCTGACAAACAACGCGAGTGTTGAGAAAATGGTGTGAAAAAGATGGGCGCTCGGTACGCAGCTCGTGAGAAGGCGGAAGCGTGCGGAGCGTGACGTCCTGAGGGAATGACGTGGCCATGAGCCATAGGTGTCACGTCCAAGAATAAACCGTACTTCAAGACAATACTCTGGGCGCAAGGCGTTTTCTACGACGGTGCTCGACGACCAAAACCCCCTCACAAAGCCCACGCGCATTTCTACAACAAGTGCCTCGGAGAACCACCACAAACCAGACCACACACTGCCTCCACTGCGAACCATGTCCTCCTCCATTTATGCGGGGTAATACTCCTGCGTACTTATAGCAGAATCAACCCCCCCTCCCGACCGCTAGTACGATGACCAGCTTCTGGTTTATCCTTGTGAAATGTAGCCTGGGCCGGCGCAAATCGCTCCGTCCCGGCATCGCAGGGATGCGAGGTCAACGGCCTAACGACTACGGCTGGGTACCCCGCCCTCCCGACCCACCCCACCTTGCGGAACATGGGCCGGCAGACCTGCGCCGCGCGGAGCACCTCCCCGGCGTTGAGAAAGACGAACACCTTCAGCAGAGGCTTCTTCTCGAGATCCAAAAGCAGACAAGGCTTCACGGCCGGCGCCGGTGGCGGTAGAGGTGGCGGCGACGTTGCCTGCTCGTCGCCCCCCCCTCCCTCCGGCAAAGCCTCTGACCCGTGGGGCTGCCTTGCAGTTCCCAAGCTGCCTATCGAATCGGGCGAGCCCGGCTGCCCGGCGCTGGTGCCGCCGCTGCCACCGCTACCAGGAATGCCCGCCGCTGCCGCCGCCGCCGCCGCTGCCACCGCTGCTTCGTGTGCAGATTGCATCTTGATGAGTTTGCTGGTGGCCGGGCAAATAATGGAGCGGGCGTGGGGGCGGGGGGGGGGG